TCAGTAATATTGCTATCCATGTTGCCACAACCGTACAAGGCTGGAAAAACCCTCCCAACAAGGAAGAAATTCTGCGCCATAAGCACGCCATCACAACAATTCAATATTCTACCTTGCCACAACTCAAATGCCAGCTCTCACAAACTCCCATAGACAATATAGCCCAATCCTCTCTACAGCCTTTCAGGAAATCAGGAAATTCCTCGCCCAAACCACCCAACTCCGCGGTGCACCACTAACCATACCCCTGCCAGTGTCATAAAGACCCAGCCAAATCCCAGCAATATGGTTCAAACGGCCTCATCACGACACTTTCTCCCCGCAGGCACACGCGGAAGGGCAGAATTTGCAATAGCGGGGAAATATTTGCACTGTTCTACTCTGGGCTGCATTAATTATTGTTGTGGAAGACCTCTCTCATCGTTAGAAGAATCTGTTTGCGAGATGTCTTGCTCAATGTCGACATGTTTGAATGGCCGTGGCAACAATTTTCAAGAACGCTTATGTGGAATTACTTGTTCATCCATATACTGATACCCGTCCAAGTGAACACCCTTCAAGCTTATACCTTTGCCTAAATTGCTGCTACCAAACGCTAGCCTCTCAAATCGAGGACGCATCACCAATCAAACCATCACGGTTTTTGTCCATTAGGGTATAACCGCACAAGTACACACGGGAGAACAAATAATTGACTAATATTGGAAATGCAATTGATGATATCTGAGGGTATTGTGCTCTAGCTGATGCTGATGCTTCTATCTTGTTAACGCCTTTAGGGAATATAAGAAAGGAAAAATAGGCTCCCGTCGTCGTCCTCGTTCAAAGCAGAATTTGAAAGGGTTCCCTCGGCTTTCCTTCAAGATAACATCTCTCATGATTTTCGTAAAAGCGTTGACGTCGAACATATCGACGTTTGGGTTAAGCAAACCTCAAACGTTCTCTTCGTACCTGAGCCCAACCCATCGACTTGGCACGCCGACCTTCACCTTCACTCCACTTCCTTCTCCATCCGCTGCGTCGACGATCTTCCTCGGCGGTAACCATATCCTCGCCCTCCCAGGCGCCTTCGAGTCCAACTTTCCCACCCTACGCATACTCATCTCCAACACAATAACACGAAGGAAATCACTATTCTCCCGCGGTTCTCTCTGACGAGCTGTAGGCAAATTCTGACCAAGTACTATACTTCCACCACGCTCAGGCCCAACACTGCTCTTGCGCGTTCGCTTGTGGGTGCGAGAGTAAGTTTGCATTTGTATCATTGGCGGTGTCTCTTCTTCGTCGTCGTCAGCTGATTGGGCAAGGGCTGCTTGGAGTTGTGATGGGAAATCGGGAGAGGACAGAGATGTGATTTGTTGCTCGACAAGGTGGGTTGGGTTGAGATAACGACGTAATGCTGGATCTGGGATTCCATTGAAGCCTTTTGGTCGCATCTCGCTGGCGAAGCGGGAAGTAAGGAGGGAGCGAGTAAGCATGTCGTCTGAGGGAATGCTTGGTGCTGTGAAATTGGAAAAGGATTTGGCAGCTGATTTGAGGGCATTGAAAGATGCGGTTAGATTGGACTTGAAAGTAGATTTTGGTTTTACGGTGCGGTCCTGCCGCGGTGGGGTGTTGTCGGTATTGATGGCATAGACAGAGTCGGCCGGCGAGCTCGGACGAAGTGGATGGTCTTCACATTCTTCTGTCGGTGGCGAGCAGACCAGCTTCTCCCTCCTTTGTGTCTCGCCATAAGACTTCCTGCTTACGAATGAAGGTAGAGAAGGCGCGCTAACAGTAGACATGGTGCTGTGTGCGGCATCCAGTGATGGCGTTGACGCAATAGAGTCGCTAGATACCGACCTCGACGATATTAGGCTCGGTTCCTTCTCGTCGTCCAACTCATGAAAGGACCCGTCGTATCCCTCGAGCTCGTCTGCCGGTTCTAACAGTATATCGAGCGGTCCTCGGCCCACCGACGGTGAATTCCCCTCACGCCTCCATTCCTGCACGAGTTCATCAATGGATATACGCCTCTGTCGGGAGTTACGTCGTGGGAAAGATCGTGGTGTAGGAATAGCAGTGACTGCAAGAAGTGCGGCAACTGCAGGTGGGAGCGCGTCAGTTCTGTGAGCAGGATCCGCACGGCGCAGTTTACGTCCGCCATGCTGCCCTCTGCTGTTGAGAGTTTGAATTTGCGATCGCGGCTGCGTTTGCGAGCGCGAGATTGGCTGACTTCGTGGTTTGGTATCCGTCTGCACGGACGGGATTTTGACTGGCTCACTAGCAGTGCGTATCGGGATTGGAGCTGGCATCGTAGGTTTTTCTACCTCCGACAGTGATGCTTTTGGTGGTGTAGAGCGCGGTCTAACAATACTTGAGACTTGGGCTTTCTTCCCCCTCCGCTCCGGTGAAGGTGAAGCGGACCTGTGTTGGCCCGCTTGTAAGAGGTGATAAGACCGTGGTACCATCATCCTGCCGTTTTGCACTCAATACTTGCTCATCAAGAGCCGTTGCATATACTGCGCAACAATGAGAAAGGTCGAATAACGTGTCCACTGCACAGGCGGCAGAAGGTGGGAATATAAGATGTCGATACCGAGGTGAGCTGTCTCGTATTGGTCAATGTTGGTCTGTGATATATCTCAGTAGACGACATGAAGCGCGGGTAGCAAATGCCGGAGGCCGGAAGAAAAAGGATGTTCAAATATGATTGAAGTTAAAGGGCGAAAAAGGCGTAAAAAGGGCAGTGTGGGAGCAGACTATCAATTCAGGTAGGAAGATCGCTTATGTGAGGCTATGTGCTCAAGTGCAACGTGGACGGCGGACAACTGCGTAAAGTCCCTCTCAAACCCCCTTTGAGTCGACAGCGGGAAGTTCGGCCGGGGATGTGGAATGAGGCGGTGGAGGATGCACAAGTAACCTTAGCGGGCGGAACCGTGGGATTTTCCGATCATATAAAATGCTTCTGTTCGGGCTCAGGTTGTGGTGTTTAGAATATCTTCTTGGCTTGAGCTCAGGCTCAGAAAAGTAGTGGGGACCAGGGTTCGGTGTGGTCGATGACATGGGCTGATTATGTCGCGTGGGCGGCGCGATAAGAGATAAAGAGGCAGATGCATGGCAGGTGCTTGTGTCACCGCTGAAGATACATAAAGAGGTACATAGCTTGGTGTACTCTGCGAAGACTCTGACGTCCTTTGCCGATACTGTATCGCTGTTCTTTGCGACTTTTTCATTCGGTTCGGCACCCTCGTGAGCATCTCCTCGTGCTCAAAAACAATCCACGTACGTAACAGCCTCAATTCAGGGACAGCTGTGGCCAAGTACAAAAGGTCACGTGACTGGCTATCACTTAAATGATTAAATGATTGGTCAGAATAGTACCTTTTCACTTGGCATTAGAAAGGTACCGAGGAACGTTAGTTTCTCGAACGTTGCATCTCCGCGGCCTCCCTGAGCAGTATGGACTTCGTCGAACAAATTGAGAGATTTTCCTCAAAACACTCAACAACACAAAGAACACAAAGTATATTTTGCTTATTTACGCACCAAGCAAGAACGACTTCAAGCAGCTCGCCTGATTCGGTGCTTGTGTCACCATAAATCCGCCCTATGAGCCTCCAAAGCCTTATCTCTTCCCTCTTCCCCACCTTTTTGCCCACGCCCGTCCGCGTATAGTAACTCCTTGAGGCAATATTATAAACGATGGAGTGCGCTCGCCCGGATCACTTATCCTGCACACCCGGTAAGCTAACAGGGGAGTTTATTCGAGGATCGTCAACCTTAGATAACATTCACGATGCGGCTAATGGGTGTTGTGCATATTATCGCCTTAGGTTGTATGTACTTCTCCGCACTTTTTGGGAGTGTCGTGACGTACCTGTGGTGTAACGAGCCAGGCCTGCTTGCTGTTTGTTCGGATGATGCTTGGGTATATCCTTTACAAGCTGGGGTCTTATCGCATACCCCAGAAAAGCATTATCAAGTCCTTGCGAAAGTCGGCTGGTGCGATAGTCTAGAAGACTAGAAAAGGAACTTGCGGAGACCTTTCCGACTATTCTACTAGGGACGAGATTGGGCAATGGCTCGGATATGGAGACGTACTTTTCTACCTTTGGTTGTAAAGATACAACTAAAGCTAGACGCTCTACACCATCTTTCTTTGCCTCCTTCATCATCTCGTCGTCATATCTCAAACTTGGGACAAAGAAAATGCATTGCTGTTGTTACCACCGCTTGGCCCTACACATGAGAGTCTTCGCATAGTATCCCTATGAGTAAGAGAAAACATGATCGGAAGTGTCTGGATCCTCCATGTCGATTCTTATTACCTCTCGGAAAATCTGACTACGGGATGGAACACTGAAGCTATCTGTTAAGAAGCGTAGCAATTACTGCCGGCGTACGGTTTTCTACGCCGATGGAAATGCGAGGACCCAAAAAGACCCTGGCGTGGCTGCCCTCGCTTCTAGTGTACCAGAAACCTTACATTACGGGTTATGGAAGTCTAAAGGAGGCAGGAACTACCAGTAATGGTTCGGATCTCTTGTTCGTGATGAAGCTGCCCGGGGAGTATGCAAATAGCACGATGTGGTTCATCGACTGATATTTATTCAGTAACATGTGTCATCTTCCGAGTATTGTAATCCCTTTTTAAGAGTGGGTAGTCTCAATAAAGCAACCACGCCCTCAGATAATTATTCTCTTCTATCCACCTTGGAGCCTTGGAGATATGCACAATACATACTCCTTCATGTGGCGACTACTGAAAATTTGGAGAAAATCAAAGTTCTATCTGGTACACTCATTTGTTCACTCCCATACTCAACTTTCTTCAAGTGATATACCACAGTATCTGAGAGAGCAATAGGACCCATTTTATATTTCTACAGCAGCTATCTGGCCACTAAGTCACGATCCGCTCCCACTCTGCTGCTCTTTTAGCACAGGTGAGTCACTACCCAGCCCCAACATCTACGACTCTTTATATGCTCGCCGCCGCGGTTGGGAACAAAACCCACCTCCGCTTGGTGTAGTTGGCTATCACGTCGGGCTGTAATAGAACCATTAAACCTGAAGGTCGCCTGTTCGATTCAGGCAGCGGAGAATAACTTATTCTTTTTTTATTTTTGTTGTCTTCAATTGTGGGAATGTTTAGGAAAATGTGCTAATGCTTCGTAATTTAATCTGTTGGAAGGTGAGGAGGAAGAACACACGGACTGTATAATTTTGGCGTTTTTTGAGGTACGGAATTCATTCACGAACTTTAAGTGAGGTTCCAGTTTGAGTTGAATTATCCATGTTTTTTGTGCTTGAGGAAGAAGGTCAATAATATGATCACCTCCCCAGACGAGCCTGTAAACATGCTGCAAGCTTACATACGCACAGGTGAAGCTGATCTTCCAACGTCCCACACGCCGAAAGCAAGAAAACAAGGACAACAACCTTCGCAATAAAATCCTACACTTCGCAATAAAATCCTACACTCCACAACTAAACTTAGTCGAGCACCTTCTCAAACCAGCTCTCATTGACATGTATCCAGTCAATGTACCAGGTCTTTCCACCATCATGTGTCTCGATGTCCGAATGAGACATATTCGTGCCTTGGAACGCATCCCTGTAGCTCATATCGGCTTTGTTCAATCGAATGGTGGTGTATCTATACGAGTGGGCGTCCATGGGTCCGTGAGCCCACACCTGGCATTCGACGGTTAAATAATAGTCGTATGGCTTCCCAGATGCTGAGGATGAGGTTAGAAAGTTCTTAACAAGAGGCTAGTCGCTAGGTCAACTTACATGTACTGAATTTGTCAACAAGTCGTCCATCTAGCTTCACAGTCTGTGTTGTATTACCAGTATGATCATCGTACTCGTACTTGATATTCATAATTTGACCCGCATCAACAGCATAGGATGTCCCATCTGTGAGTTGCCCAGTAGCGCCTACATGATACACACTGGCATAACTGCACCACTGACCCGCTTTGGCATTACAGGCTTTTCGGCCATTGGCGTCGGTGCTTATGGAAACCACCTGTATGAGATCTTGCCCAGTTGTGAATACAGATGGCCAAATCTCTAGACGCGCGTTCTGGGGGGATTGAGTCTTAGGCATGACAAGAGTGGTGTCGACGGATTCGATGTAGTTCTTGGCTGGATCGACTCGACCTCCCCAATGTGGACCCCAACGAAGGTGAAGCGCATCAACCGCCGGATCCCCACGTCGAATGAGCGGGTGTGGTGACGGCTTCGACGATTCCTTTGGTGGTACAAACTTGCTGGCATTGGGAATACTGGAGGTTGCAGCTGTAGTGAGCTCTCTCTGACTTGTCTGCTTGCTGTGTTAGTGGAGTTGTCTGTCCTTAGCTATCAAGGATGCTTACCTGTCCGAACTTTGCCTCGTTCATGTGCAGCCAATCGATAGTCCAGGTCTTGCCATTGTCTGAGGTACCAAAGTTTCCGTACTCCACTTCTTCCTTCGCAACCGGGACCCCGAATGGCATATACGGCTTCTCGAGCACAATTCTAGTATCGACCCACGAATGTGGTGGCATTGTTGCTGGTGCACATTCAACACACTCCACAGCAAATTCAAGGTATTGGCCCTTTCCTCTTCCTTGAACGATACTGGAAATGACTCGACCATCTCTCTTGACGGTCTGTGTGATCATGTCCGTGGCTTTGTCATGGACGTAGTGAACGTTTATCCTGGTGTTCGAATCTATGGTAACCAAGTCATGCGCATAGGTTGCATTGCATTCTTTCGAGTGGCCTTCAACGCACTCAAGAAGATATCCATAAACGCACCACTGATCTTGGGTTTTGGGGCAGTTGGGCCATGTGGAAGATTCGAAGATGGACTGGACGAAATCATCTCTCCAGGTTCGCATCCCAGCCCAAGCTACTAGGTAGCCTTTAGGGAGGTGAGGAGCACTAGGAAGAAGAATCGTGGTCTCGACCTCGATGATGTTGACGTTTGGATCGTTATAGCCTAGCCAGACTTTTGGCTTGCCAAATTCTGCTGCTGCCTTTAGCAGAAATAATTGGGCTAGCAGAAACGTAAGGAGAGTCTTAGCAAACATCTTGCTCGTCGGTTTCGTGGTAAAGAGTATGAGGTAATGGGTGCAAGAAACGAAATCGTGATGCGAGTGAAGGTCGATAATGGAGAGGAAGGAAGTTGTCTATAACAGAAAGACCAAGGAGAGGTTTTTAAGTTTGAAAAATAACCAAGAGCTGGACCATTTAGGTGCATTCGGCTACTGTCGGAGGACCAACCATTTGCTGCTCGGCTTCCATAACACGCTGCTTATGACCGGTTTGGCAGTTGCTTTCACATTTGCACATTCACATAATGGGTCGTGGAAGCCTGATCTGGCTGAACACGGCTACTGCTTAAATGAGGAAGCAAGTACCATTCCGGTGTTAGGATCTGCCATTCTTATGTGGAAGCAAAAGTGACAAGATTAGTGCGTGTAATTGTGTTTGGGGTGTTACTCCATATCTCATAAATCGACATCGTCAAAAGCACTGCAACTCAAGGGAAGGAACCTCGATCTGTGTGTAAGTCTTCCGCACCCAGATCTGAGGACGGCTCACCAACATGCTGTAACATCTTGGAGTATTCTGGGCGAGAAGTGGCTAGTTGTTGGTGAAAGAGGAGGAGATGTCGTTAGAACTGGGAAAAGCAAATGAGGAAGCTAAACTAAATCGAGAAACCTGGCTAGCACCAATCTAGCCGCATTCGTTTCTTTTTGGATTGACTGTCTATTGTTAGATCTATTGTGAGCTATTGGTTGGGACGGCGAAAGCTATAGGTATAGCTAGCTGACGAGCAAATCTTGTAATACATTAGATTTTGCGAAGGCACGTTTGAGTTCAAATGGCGGAACAGTAGGTCGAAATCCCTTGATTGGGTTCACAATTGACTGAATACTGGATCAAGATAATATACATGCATTAAACGAGATTTAGGCACTAGCGCAGTGCTTCCTGAGTCAGCTTGTTTATCCTGAGTGGACTATCGAAAGCAACGAGTGTTCCAACAATCGCCATCACCTCATCAATTTCTCCTTTCTTATTCTTCATCCTATTCGGTTCATTAGCATACTATTACTCTATCAAAAAGACATCGAACTTACCCATTATGTTTTGAGAAATCATAATCAGCCTTGATGAACATGATATCGCCCTTTTTGATATCATGCCCATTTGGGAACACGCATCCACCCTGTTTCTCGATATGCTCAATCATGGTGTTGTTTTCCCCGTGAGCACCCATAATTTGGCGCTTTCGGCCATGCCCCATGCCCATGCCTTGATTCTCGCCAGGGGCACTCTTGGCGTAGTGTGGGTATGATGTGCACAATAGTTGGCCGTTCTTGTAGATCGAGGTACTCGTGCCGCCTTCGTGCAGATGTCCATTTCCACCCATGACATGACCGTCTGCTGGTGCTACCCACGGAACAGAGTACTCCGTGAATTTCGGGTGCAGCGGCTGTTGCGATATGGTCAAATTTGTGGTTCCAAAGGGATTCGGGGAGTTGGTGCCGCATCGATCTGGACCGATGGACATCCATACAACATGTCCTTCTTTGTACTGATCATTGACCTCCTCACGATAATCCCAGTTGAGAGTCAGCCACACCCACTTTTCGCGATCCTCCATGTTCATGAGTTCGATATTGAATAACAGTTCATCTGTTGTCCGGAGATGATAGCCAAGCTTGATCGGCGATTCTTTTACGGAGAAATCAACGTAAGTTTTCTCATTTCCAGACTCGAACAAGTGCTCTACGCCATAGCCGGGCTCGAGTTCCGTCAGCCCACCCATGCCGGCGCCCAAGTCGATTTTGCCGCTGCGGCAGACGGCATCGTTGACTTCGGGGCCGACGTTCCAGAGGACTACGTGGTGTAACCAGGACTATATCCATGCATTAGCAGCCGGACCGTTGGATTCAACGTCTTTGCCACTTACGCCAGTTTTTTGTGTTGCCAGTCGACCATCATCATATTCCAGATCTGTAGTCAAGCCATGAAGAACGCACTCTTTCTCGCAAGGCTTTGTTGCATTGAGGGTTAGAAGGTTTGCTATTCCGCTCACATTCATGACTCTAAACTCTGCATTATCTTCCTATTGGACGTTAGTCATTGACCACATCTTTACACTGCTCGACCGTTCTCACAGAAATCGGCGGTATCCTGTATGGACCATATCTTATCTTCTTATATTGGGCACCTGGGTATAGTACTGATGGAGAGACTTGGATATTGTTGACTTTCGATTTTGGCGGATCCATGTAGGATAGCTTTGCAGGATCACCGGGATTCGATTTAGGTGGTATGTCTCTTCGTCGCTCTGCCATTATCCGTCGGGCTTACACAGTTAGTGACACGTTCGCAGAGCACATATTGAGCGACTTACTGCGAAGTGGCAAAACAGTGTGCAGGTCTTCCGTTCCAGCAGGGGCGATGCCCTGCGGTTGTATCGCCGCAGTAGCGGCATGCTGCACAGCGCAAAACGAAAAAAAAAGTGCTGCTGACTTCATTTTCCGCGATGAGCAATAGCTAAAGGAGTGTGAGGGTGGTATAGACCCGGCAGAATGCACAATCGCGCACTGTTGCAGCGGCACTTTTACTATGTATAAGTCCCACATTGCCACGACCTTTAGCAAGTGGCGCTAGCATGGTATTGGGAACGCAAGATCCATCAGACACATCATTCGTTCGTGCGAGTCGCTTATTTCTCTGATTGGACTATTCTGGGGGCAAGGGGCTAAGGGAAAATAGATTAATTGAGTCAGTAACGGGATAGTACGTTATGATTTAAACTACCATAAAGGGTCGCTTGGGCCATGATTAGTAGCAGTCCAATCATATGGGTGTTGAAACCACATTAGGATGCGTATCCGAATAGTTTGTTAATGTGATGGACCGGGTCTAGGGTTCCTCTTACAGATGGGAGTGCCTGGTAGCCAAATGAATGGGTCATTGTTGGGATTTTATCTGTTAACCGACTTGGTGGGCTGGTCCCCTTGACCGTGATTCTTCAGATGTAATTAAAGAAATGCCTTCATTTGGAAGAGAAAGTTTTGAGTCGATGAAGAA